ACATTTTACCTATGGATCTGGGAAGGAACATAAAAAACAATACTAATAAAATCCACAAATGACAAGAGTGATGAAGCTGTGGATTATAAGGTCAGAAGGTAACCCAGAGCAACCTCAGGAACCACTGAGGCAGGGTTCCTTCCAAGAAAATACAGATGAACACAGGCAACTGTACAGCGCTAAAGTTACCTCCGTAAAGGAGGCAGCCATTCAGGAAGCAACGAGTGAAAGGCTGAGGGGCAAGCAACTGACCACAGGGTAACGTGCTTTGTCGAACGCTCAACACTTTGGACGTGCAAAGAAAAAGAGAGCTCAAAATTTAACTTATAGCATATGAAGCAGATGTACCAAACAACCTTACGCCTTGCTTGTAAAAAGGAAGGCTGAGAAAATACTTGTTGATAGTTTGTAAGCGATTTAAAGGGCGCTTTAACCGCAACAGGAACAAGCGACCAGAAAAAAAGTGCTCAGATTCAAATTCATAAGCTACATCTCCTCGCTGGGGGGCATTCACCTGGACAAAGCTACCGTGGAGAAAAAGATTGCCATCTTCCCAGTTTTCAAATCAACAGGAGGTGCCTTTCTAGGAGGTATCTTTCCCTCCAGAGGATACAGGCATGACATACCTGAAGTGCTGTAGGAGGCCTAAGGATTCATTTCAACCGCAGGCCTCAAAGTCTAAATACATTCCTTCCAAAAGCTAAGGAAAAGTATTTTACCTTAATTTCCTCTGGTGTATCAAACATTTCTGTAACTCCAGCATAGTCCACTTCAAAATCGGATCGTTTCTGTTTGGGTTCTGCCATAAGCCTTTGCAGACCCACAAAATCATCAACTGGTTGATGCTTCTCTCGCGGAGTCTTCACTAATCTACTAATACCATATACATCTTCTACGGGTTCAGCTTTTTCTTTTGGTGTCTGGAAAATACGGCTGACCCCAATCATGTCTTCTACTGGTGGATATTTCAGCTTTGGAGTTTTCTCGATTAGATTAACATCTGACACATCGTTTACTGCTCCCCTTTTCTGTACCGGTGTCTTCAGCAATCTTCTAAAGGCAATTTCATCTGCGATAGGTTCCAACTCTTGCTGTGGGGTCCTCAGGAGCTGCTTGATGCCTGACAGGACCTCGACCGGCTCCGACTTCTGCTTCGGGGTCCTCAGGAGCCGCTTGATGCCCGACAAATCCTCCACAGGCTCTGATCTTTGCTTTGGGGTCCTCATGAGCCGCTTGACGCCCGACAAAGCCTCTACAGGCTCCGATTTCTGCTTTGGAGTCTTCATGAGCCGCTTGACGCCCGACAAAGCCTCTACAGGCTCCCTCTTCTGCTTTGGGGG